TAAACCATATTTTTAAAATATTAGGAAAATCATTTAGAGCAATAATTTGCAACCTTTTTCTGTAATGGCTATCTAGTAAATATTTTAGATTTGGTGGCTTGCAGTCACAGCCACTATGCAGTGTGAAAGCAGCCATGGAGAAGCACCATCCACACTCACTAAACAAAGGAATGTAGCTGTGTTCCAATAAAACTTTATTTACAAAAACAGTCAATGAGCTGGATTTGGCCCATGGACCATTGTTCGCACATACCTGTCATGAGTGCTTTTGCAGGCTTAGGAAACAAAACACAAAAATAAAAAAATACTCCCTGTTATGGAACTAGATGTTTAGTAGTTTTGAGTTTTGGGTTTTCACATTTTGAAGTTTTTAAAAGTAGAATATATTTGCAATATCTTGGTGAGACAAACCGAAGGCGATTTACACGTATGTGAATTGAACAAAAGCATTCACACGTTTGGTTTGTGACTAGGATAAAAGTGGCAAGCTCTATAAGTTCTTCAACTTCAGGCACTGTGTGTTGCCAGCTCAGGCCCAACAGAGGTCTTCCTAGCACGGCCTCGCACCGCTGGCCAGGCACATCATGGACGTCCTCCCCATCTGGTTTATGGCCACTATGAAGAATGCTGTCTGTATACATTGTGTTAGCAGTGACCTTTGGTCTGGTCTCATCTCTTTTTGCCATCTGCTGTGTTTTGTCTCTGAAACAGAGTAAATATTGGTTAATATTCATACCAAGTGATAATCAATGTGAAATTGATCAGTAGTGTTCAAGTGAGTGACTCTGGCCACTGCTTGTTTTCTGTTCAACAGCGGCACGTTTCAGTACACCCTGGAGGCCACCAAGTCTCTCCGCCAGAAGCAGGGGGAGGGCCCCATGACCTACCTCAACAAGGGACAGTTCTACGCCATAACGCTCAGCGAGACGGGCGACAACAAATGCTTCCGACACCCCATCAGCAAAGTCAGGGTACGGGCCGCGTTTCTCCAGTAAATCAGAGGGGTCCGAGGAATGCAGTTGCTACCTCAGGGCCTTGTGGGAAGGGTGTGGAAAAAAAATTCTAAAATAAATAACTCCAGCACAAATGTCAGAGAGTTGGGGCAAGAGAACTTATTGGCTCGCAGTTTATCATTTTAATCAGTAACCAATGAGCCCCGGGCAAGGGAGGCGGTTGGAACATGCTTTCTGAACGTATCCAAGGAATTTTCCCAGCTTCATTCATGGCCTGTGTGCTACCTCGCTGCTGCTGTTTGCCATCCGTTGGTTTTAATTTTTCCAGTGAGTAGCCGTAAGTCAGAACATTTTTCTCCATATTTGCTGCTGCTTTCTTTTCTGTGAAGGAGGATGCAGTTCATCTGTGTCCCTGGAGCCTTCTGGTTAAAAGCCCTCGCAGCCCAATTCTTCCTCAGGAGCCAAGGGGCGAGGCATGCTATGACCCCTCCCAGGAGTGACGTGGAGGAATGTTCACGTTCGTGAGTGTTAGTCCTATTTGTGGGAAATGAAAGTGCCCTGGAAGCCTGCCAGCTTCTGGCACTCTCGCTCCTGCCAAGAGAGGGAGGGAACTGGCAATCCCTCTACTGAAAAGGAAAGGGATAGCAGAGCTCTGGAAAGAGGCTGCAGGACTCTCCCGCCCTGTTGTAAAATGATTTGTGCTGCCGGTGTGTAAAGTGCTACGGAGGAGAAATTATGAAGGGATATAAATCAATGAAATATTCTTGTGGAGTGGTGGGGAAATGTCCACTAGGAAGTATTTTGGATATGGAGTGAGAAGGGAGAGTCATATCCCTGAGGCTGTAATTAGGGGTTCTTTGGGCTTGTTTATTTGTTTGGTTTTGGTACCTTCTTCATTGTCTAAATGACAGTGAATTATCACAGACAGTATTTAGCTTAATGAGGTTGTTTATCATTGAGAACTGAAAGGAGTTTTTGGAGTATTAGTTTCTCAAGCTCATTTTTAAAGCACATCACACATTGTATTGAAATAAAAAACATAGTTGACCTTGTATCTTTTGGTCTATGAAATATCTGTGATGTACATCTGTACCCATCAATATGAACTCATCTTTTACTATTCTTCTCATTACTTTAGCATTTCTCTCATTAATCCAGTATTCCAGCCTCAGGCACTTAATTAGGCCAGAAACTGATACTTCCTCCTTTATAAATGGTGCCAGATTCTATATTTAAGATAAGAAATTTCAAAAATATGCTTGTTTTTA